GTGAGGGGTCTGTAAGGGTTTTAATAGGGCAGGTAATAAGGGAGGGTAGAGTCCCCCCCACCACATCCAACCGATTTCGCTGGTGTTCTACTAGGCTACTTTCTATGAAAACTAGAGCCCGTCCTAACTTCTTGTACTAATACCAATACAGCAGGTTTAAGTTACGTAGAGGGGAGAAATAGGTGGGGAGCGAGGGGGGCTTGTAAGGGTTTTAATAGTAAGGGAGGGTAGAGTCCCCCCCCTATCACAGTACTAGCTACTCTCTACTAAGGCTAGAGCCCGTCTTAACTTCTTGTAGTACTACCAATACAGCAGGTTGAAGTTACGTAGAGGGGAGAAATAGGTGGGGAGCGAGGGGGGCTTGTAAGGGTTTTAATAGGGCAGGTAATATGGGAGGGTAGAGCCCCCGCCCCCCCATCCCGCCTGGACCAGTCTTACCTTGTTCGGGCAGGTGCAGCGACTGGTGGCCGATGCTGCTATCCGGACGCCGTGGGAGGTCTTGGGTGATGTGCTGCAGGAAAAACTCTCAGGTGATCTTTTGCGTCGCTTGCAGCTTGGCTACCGGTGTCTGTCTGCCGCTAGGTCATGTCATGTCGCCTTTAGAGTTATTTCCCCAGACTAGGCTTGCTCGTGATCAAAGGCAGAGTGCCGGTGACAGAGCTCTCCAGGAGATGTATGCGTGCAGAACCTGCTTGCCACTAGACTTGTGCGAGAGTGTCACAGAAGTGTCGCTCACAGAGTATGCGGCTGTAATGGACTACTACAAGGATGGTCAGATTCGTCAGGCATGGCGTGCATTGGATGGCAATGCCAAGAGGTGCTGGGCTAGGGACAACCCCATCCAGTACTTGCAAGCACAGCCGGCCTCAGCCTGGATCCAGCATGCAGCAGAGTGCTTCGGACTAGATGTGCCCCTGCACACGAGTGCAGCTGCCGCATCCTTGAGTGCACCAGTCGCGAAGCTGGCTGAAGACATTCGTGCATTCTTGACAGAGCCTGAGCATCAAGCGGAGCCGACTTCCGAGCCAGCTAGGGCAAGTGTGAAGCGGGAGCATCAAGCGGAGCTGACTTCCGAGCCAGCTAGGGCAAGCGTGAAGCGGGAGCATGAAGCGGAGCCGACTTCCGAGCCAGCTAGAGCAGGTGCGAAGAAGGTCCGGTATGTAGCCACTGCGGACGTCGAGACGGCTCTTGCTGCAGGTGCACCATACAGCCAAATACGTGCTGAGAGCCTGAACTATGGCCAAGTGCTGCGAGGTATGATCTCTGTCTGCAGGGTCTGGTACAAGGATGAGTGGACAGATGGAGTCGCCCTGCTGAATGGCGGCTGCGAGCAACGAGGCAAGTTGCTGAGCCTGCAGGGGAAGGCCATGACGGTGTTGGTCTTGCTCTACTCGGACCAAGGTGACGGCGGCCACTGGGCTCTTCTGGCAGCACGTCGGGGCAATCAAGAGGAGGCTGTCCTCTACGACGGGCTGCCACAGTCCACTCATGCAAGGGTCATTCGGGACCATGCCGAGACCATGGTGTCGTACCTGATGGATGAGGCGTGGTTCGTTCGCACAGTCAAGGTCCAGGTCGCCAAGGTCCCCTTGCAGGGAGATGCTTTCTCATGTGGACATCGGTGCATCGTGACAGCAGACCACATACTGGAGCATGTTGCTGCCCACGCATGCCTGCCTCGGGAGATTGCCTCTGAAGACCTTGGCCCACAGCAAGTGGAGATGCTCATCCAGACCGCTGCCAGGTGCGCCCGAGTCAAGCAGGAGGCTCAGATCAAGCGTGAGGCAGCAGCTGCTCCGTCGACTCCTCCGAGACGCAAGAGACCGATCGAGATGGACACCCCTCCAAGCAAAGGCAGCAGCGTCTCGGAGCGTGTTGGAGTGCGCCCCTCACGGCGCAAGCAGCGGGCCACCTCGGCCTCTGCCAGAAGTGGCCCGAAGTTGTCGGAGAAGCAGCTGCAGCTGCAACAGCACAAGGCTGGCCTGGAGATTGCTGCCAAGACTGGCGTGACCGTCGGAGTCTTCCAGAAAGTTCATCAGTCTCATGTGGGCGGCAATGGGGAGAAGGGGCACTGGCGCGGTTTCATCCAGAAGCTTGGTGCCGGGGCAACGATGGTGTGCACTGCTTGTGCCGAGCTCCGTGACAATCCACCTAGATCTGCAAGGCCTCAGCCTCCGGCTGCCGGCAACGGCCAAGTAGTCCCGCAGGAGCCGGAGCAGGGACAGGATGTGGTTGCACCTATCGGGGAGCAGGTGCACCATAAGGGCAGGCCGAGGAAGGACGAGCCTGCAGGAAAGCGGTTCAATCTTGCCAACTTCCTTGCAGCGAAGCGGGCAGGTGTGTATCGGGAGACGCCAGACTCACTGACCCGTAACAAGGCAGAGTACTGGTGCATCGCATGCAATAGAAGCATCAAATTTGTGTCCATGACAGATCAGGGCAAGGTCTTCAGTCACGAAAGAGCCGAGCGACACCGCAAAGGTCTGCTGAAGCTTCAGAAGCTTGGTCTCGTGCCGGGTGCTGAGGCAGTCCTGCTTGCTGCTGAGGAGGAGGTCGCCGCTTTGCAAGACCGGCCCGCTCCTGAGCCTGAGGCCTGTCTCGCCTGTGCTGGCATACGCATAGGGGATCCTGCCAGCACGCTCTATCCGCTGGAGTCGACCATCAAGAGCTTCTGCTATGCTGGCCAGCCTCGCACCATCTACTCGGAGCAGGAGCAGGACCCGCTCGGTAACATGATCAGGAGGTGCACCCGGAGATCACCTTCCGTGCGAAGTCATGCAGCCACGAGCGCGACCACCGCCGGATCGCATGCAGTGAGTGCTTGGCGCAGGCGCGCAACAAGGGGATGCTTCGGGCTTTGTCGCAGAGAGCCTTCGATGTTGACTTGGTCATGCTCGCCTACAAGGCAGCGCATACGAACACGGAGGACGTTCACCGCTTCCTCGCCGAGATCCGCTCCAGAGACTACTACGTCCTGGGCTTGGCAGGGCAGAACCTGGACGACCTCACCAAGAACTGCACCGGACTCAAGCTGGTGCGCCGCATTCGTAGCCGCTTCGACACCACGCCAAGTTGGAGGAAGAGCGAGTCCTTCAAGCAGTATCTGGCTACTTACCTGACCACAACGAGCTTGTACCACCAGGGCGACTTGCAGATGGGTGCTCATACGGCACTGAGCAACGCCTTAGCCTCAGCGGTCCAAGAGGGCACAGCAAGGACCCTTGAACTCGATCTCGCAGCCCGGGTAGCTGCAGGAGGCCTGCGGGCGGACGCCGTCGTGGAACAGCTTGTGACAAGCTTCCTCCTAAGGTCAAAGACTGCGCTGGAACGCCCGAACTCCAGCAGACACTTGACCCAGGTAGGAGCGATGTCGGAGGCCTTATGCACTCTAGGCCGTCGCAAGGAGGTCGATGCACTTCTTTCGCGCTTCGGCATCAATGCTCGATCCGTGCCCAAGCCCAGCATCCGCTGCACACTTCTGCCACCGGCATTTGGTGCCCTCAGCTTCAGCTCCCAGTTGCGTGCTTCTTACATGATGGCGGCACGGCATCTTGGAGGAGTCTCCCAGAGACTCCATGTGATCTATGACGAGACGGTCTGGTCGCCCTCGGCTGAGCAGTGCCCCGGGTTTCTAGGTGAGGAGGAGGACGACTTCCGAGCTGTGATCGTGGGAGGGCAGTGGAGTGACAACCACCTCGATGCCTGGCACTACCTGGATGCGGAGCAGTGGGCGGCTGAAGGCGTGCCGGTGGACAAGCTGGCCAAGCTGACGCTGCACTGGGTGGTTTGCTTGCCGACTAACCCACGATGGGCCTTCGACACCTGCTGCTTGCCAAGACGTCCTAAAGCATTCACTGCTGACGAGATGCTGCATCACTGTGCCGTGTATCTTCATCAGGTCACTCAGGCCTCCGGGGGTCTCCCACCGCGCTCGCTGGCATATGACGGTGCCACAGTCAACTCGAAGGTGAACCGTGTCCTTCTTGGTCTGGTTGATCTGCAGAGTCTCCGAGATCATGCGTGGTTCAAGAACCTGGTGCACAAGCCCATGCCTCTGCGTTGGTGGCCTTACAAGCGGGTCTTCTTTCGCTGTCCGGACACCCACACGGAGTTTGACATTGTTGGCCACAATGGGGCCTTTCACGTCTTGAAAAGGCTCTCCCTCCAGTTGTGCAGTTCCGGACGGAAGCTTCGGTGGGGATCATTGTGGGCCGACACTACGCCCATGCTGCAGTACAACCTGCCGCACAAAACCTACGGGGCATCAGACCTCATGAGCGACAAAGCCAGTGCACACCGTTTGTGCCCACCATACCTGGAAAGGTCGGCTTTCCTTCTCGGGCAGCACATGCTGTCGTTGGTCGCAGCACTCATCTGCAGTTGCACCACGGCCAGCAAGGCCTTTTCAAAATACGAACACGCCCTCAATGCTTTGACAGCCTTTTACATGTTGTGTATCCACATCGCCCAGAACAAGGACTGCCATCGACAAGACTGGCAGCGTTGGACCCTCAGCCTCACGACCTTGCGGAACACCTTGGCTCTCACCGGCTTCGCCGTGCATGCTTCCATGACGGAGGTCGAACCCTGCAACGTCCAGGAGATCAACATCGAGCGCTTCTTCAGCGCGATAAAGGCACCCTTCCGAGGCTCTGCCAGCATCCGAGACATGATTCAGGGAGAAGCGCAGCATCACCTCTCCCAAATCCGACAGCTTGATCGTCTCGCAGACAGCGCTAGAGGAGTCCCTGAACATGTGAGCCCGCAGAGTCGTGACCCCATGACCATGGAGCAGTTGCAGCAGTGCTCCAAGGAAGCACTGGCGGCCTCTCTTCAAGTGATGGCTTGGGCTACGGTGGACGGCTCCTGTGATGATCTCTGGTATGCCACGAACCACTGGTTCAACGAACATGCTGCGTCGGTTTTTCAGAGCTCCGTGGACTTGGAGCAGGATGACAACGACTTCGACATCCACGACGAGGAGCTGGCAGATGCCGAGTTAGACGGTGAGCAGCCCGATGATGCTTCGGCGACGGCACGCCTGGGCCTGCTCCAGAGGGTCTTCGATCGGGCAGCTTCACAGGAGCTGTCTTGCACGACATGTCTCGGCTGTTGTGTCTAGGAGACTCATACACATAGGCACCCTTCTTCCAAGGAGGATGTACAACATCAGCTCCAGAACCTTGCGGACACAAATGCCCCGTGTCGGCACCTGCTGTTTCCGAGGCTTCGTCTTTAGGGCTTGTCTCGGATGCTGAGGATGAGCCAGAGCAGGACGAGACTGAGGAGCCCACAATCGAGCCAGGACCGCGGAACTTGCCCGAGCAGCTCATCGAAGAAGGATTTGATCCCAAGGTGCAGCCGAAAACCCTCATCGACATCCTGAAGCAGACCATCAACAACCCGAAGCACAAAGACAAGGCCGTCTGGAATCTCGGAGAGGAGGGGTCCCTCGGGGACCGGGCTTGCCTCATGAGGGTGCAGATGCTGCAAAAGGCCCTCCGCCACTGCATCAAATACACCCGCATGGAAGAAAACCTCCTTTCCTGTGCCATGATCGAGCGCGGAGTGGCTAACAGCAGGAGCCCCTGGAACCAGCGAGAGTACTTGTTGCACATGGCCAGGCGAAACGCCAACCTGGCGAAGACAAGGCTGTCACGTCTCCAAATGTGGAGTTCCGCCCAGGACATCGTCTTGCAGAAGGTTGCCGAGGTGGGCCACAACGAGGGGCTGCTCAAAGTGAAAGCCTTCCGCCCATGCTCCAAAGAGTGCGATGCCCAGATCCTCGCACTCCGCATCGAGGACACGGTGCAGCTTGCGATCACTCTGGCAGTCTTCAGGGGAGCCGTGGTGCGCAACCCAAAGAAGCCAGAGGCCACCAGGATCCGGACGAGCAAGCCAATCCCGGTCCCACTGCAGGCGGAGTATGCAAAGCTCTTGCATTGTGTACGCTTGGAACACGACGACAGCCGAGACGAGTACACTTGCAGCTGCATCAGCGACGTGCTCATGGTGACGCCCGTCAACACGATCATCGGAGAGGTGCATGGCCAGGTGTCGTGCAGCTCGTTGAGGCTGCACTTCAAGCTCTCCGATGCTAGCAAGGCGGCCTTGGCAATGCTCCCGAACATCGACATCCCGACATTGCGGGAGAACTCAGGGGCCCAGGCGAGCGAGGACCGCGCAGATGTAGGCCTCGACCAGTCTGCAATGGTATCCTTCAACGACAGAAGCTTCAGCCGGACATCCTTGGACGCCAATTGCAAGCTTTTCCTGGAGAGAGTCCTCCGAGAGTACAGAAGCAAAGGCACCCCTGTGGAGGACAGCGAGGGCTTCGTCCATCTGCGACCTAAGGGCACAAAGGTGTTGTTGGATGCAAGACGGAAAAAGGTCCTTAAAAAAAAAAGGTGGCAGTGTCCCAGCTGATCCAGCAGGTGCCGTCCTACTTCCTCCAGCTGCTCCGCGACAGCAAGGGATTCAGGTTCAGCTCGTCCGTCTTCAACCACCTGAAGGTGCTGCTCCCGGACAGGCGTGCCTCGGATTCTACCAAGAGTCTCTTAAGCCTTTCCTACGATTCAGTGCAAATGCGTCTTCGTCTGTGTGGCCGTCAGAAACCAGAGAAAAAAAAAACATCAAGCCTCGCCCGAGGTCAACCAACGACCCGAAGGATCGTGGAGTTTTTCACTGATGTTTGGAAGATCGCGCCAGCGGTTAGGCTGTAGCTTTCTAGAGATTGCGCCCGACAATCTCGATCAGGGGTTCAACTAGTGTTTTACGGCAGTCTGCTGAAGGGGTAGGTCCGATGGCTGGGCAGTGCTCCATGACCACTAGTACATAACCTTGCTGTCACCAACGCACGTGCCCATAGTCCCCAGTGAGTGAGAGTGCACCCAGCTGTTCTTGACCAGAAAAACCAGAGTCGCTGACGAGCATGGGGGCGAAAACAAGAATCCGAGACCGCTGTCGGCGAGTTTTCCATGTTTCGGTGCTTTGTCTGCTTGGTGCTTCACAGCTACACCCCTCAACCCGTTAGCCCCAACTGAAACAAAAAAACAGAGTTTACAGTCATATACACTAATCTTGGAAATCCTGTCGCTATTGGCAAGCACAAAGAACTCAGGGGAGGGTGGTC